TAATAATAATAATAATAATAATAATAATAATAATAATAATAATAATACCTCCCCCCTAAAATAGGACAGTTGGATTTCTTGATTTATATGGTTAGGCCTCCCCATACGGCCACAACTCAACCCAAAAGGCATCCATGACGGAGTGAAACATGCTTGTCGAGGGAGTTTTGCCCCAGCTTTCTGGCCGTTGTTAAGTGAATCACCACAGTGGGTTAAGTTAGGAACATGGTTGTTAAGGGAAACCAGCTTCCCCTTTGACTTTGCTGGTCAGAAGGGGGACAAAGGGGGGGCGCATGACACACACACAAACACACACACACACGGGACACTACAACTGTCATAAATATGAGTCAGTTTGCCAAGCGTCCGAATTTGGGGCATGGGACCATGAGGAGGCTGGAAAGCTCCTAAGGGTGGAAAACGGCCGCCAGTCCCTTTTTTGCAGTGCCAACGTAACTCCGAGCGGCCGCTTAAAGGAACTGTTGTAAATCGAGGGTTGCTGTATTTGTCGCTCGGGGCGGACACGAGGAGGGGGTCCTTGCTGCTGTCTGGGTTTGGTGGGGGTTTTGGGTTGGTTTTTGTTTTTTGTTTTGCAGACGTTGCATTACCCAACTAGGTAACAACCATCAGCTCTAGAGGAGGGCTGGGCTGGGAATGGCTCGGTCAACACCACGTGCTCAGCGCGCCCAGGGGTGGGATTCAAATGTTTGAACAAGCGGGTCTGTGGGCGTGGCTAGGTGGGCATGTGACTGGGTGGGTGTGGCTTCTTCTTTCCTTCTTTCTTTTGTTCTTTTTTTTCTCTTTTTTGCAGCCCCCCCCTTTCCCCCCCGGCTCCATTTTCTTTTCCTCCTGGGCCTCAGTCAGCGATGCCACGCATGCACAATAAGGACTAATTGGGTGGGGAGGGGAGGGGCAGGTAGAGGGAGAGGGCAGCCAGGGCCACAATTTGCCGGTTCTCCAAACTGCACAGAATCATAGAATCCCTCCGGAAAGAACCGGTAGAATCCCACCCCAGATTCTCCGGTTCACAAGACACCTCCGAATCCTAAGCGAATGAGCAGAGTGGATCATGCAAGACTTGAATATCCAGAATATCCAGAAAGACTGCCTTGGCATGATTATTCACTAACCCTGGTTTTCGGAGCCCAAGGCACCCACTATAAAGTGATCGAATAAGCTACGTTTGCTCCAAGTCCCTCCTGCCGCCAAGACAAAGAACCAAGGTTAACACTAACCAGGTTCAGCCTGGTTATTCTAATTCAGCTGTTAATTTGTGATTCGGGGTGTTGAGCAGGCTTGTAAAATTGGACTAACAGAGGGAACCAAGATTTACTTCTCCATGGTTACGGATTGCATGTGATTCTCCTTCCTTAAAATCTTCCCCAGAATGTATTCAGATGTTGCCATAAAGTAGAATGTGATATTTTCAGTGCACATACAACGAAAGTCAAATAGTAGATGAATACTCTTTAAAGGCTTAGAAAAATACGGCTGTAAAGTTAATATTTGCAAAAGCAATGGCAATCTGTCATAAAAGAAATTCCGAATAAACATACTTTTTTTTCTTCCTCTGTGGTGCAATACTCAGGAAAAAAAAATAGAAAATGGAATCTGATTTTTATCACCTTCATAATCATCCCTCTTAACCATTTCTCCTTTGACGTCCTTGAAAGATCGTGCAAGGTAATAATTTTCACTATTTATGCAAAACCAGAGAAACTTAACTAATATTTCTTAACCTTTATGGGACTACAATCCACGTTATGTGTGGCACGTTATTCTTATATATTTGAGTGGGTGTGTAATGTAGGAGCAACAATATACAGAGATCTGTGGCTTGTAACCATTTAACTCATGTTTCCAACAATTGCTGTCAGCAGCTGCTAACACTCAGCTCTGCTGAATTTCTTTTTATTTGTTTATTTATTTTCTTTCTTTCTTTGTTAGTTTTGTATGCTGCCCATCTCGCTTCAGGCAAATTTCCTTCGTTGTTTTAGCAGAACAAATTTTATTTTATTGTCCTTTGTTCTTTTAGGAGTCTATTTTAGGGCATGCTTTCATTTCTAGCTGACCCCTACATCAAAAAGTCAGGATGTTATACCACTGGTGGG